ATCACTTGTTTTGCGCCTCTGTGTCTTTAACTTGTGGTTTTTCTTCTGCCTGGAATGCCCTTCCCCGTTTTTGTCCATTTGCAGAATTTCTATCCAGCCTTAAAGACTCCAACTTTAAGATTTTTCTTGTCCCACAGAAAGTTCATCTTTCCCTTCTTTGTGCCACCACTGTCCCTATATTATAGCACAAGAACTTTATCACACAGCATATTTACCATTTTGTTCCACTACCTTCTGCCATTTTTCAGGCAACTTCATAATTCCATCCTACCAAAACTTTTTATCGTTTTGAGCAAAGAACTGTTCCAGGTGCCTTTTACAGTCTTTCAGGGAATTGAAATTTTTTCCATTAAGAGAATTTTGTAAAAACCAAAATAAATGGAAATCCGAAGGTGCAATGTCTGGTGAATGTGACAGATGAATCAGAACTTCCCAGCCAAGCTATAACAGTTTTTTCCTGGTCATCAAAGAAACATGCGATCTTGCGTTACCCTGATGGAAGATTATGAGTTTTCTTTTGACTAATTCCGGATGCTTTTTGTGGAGTGCTGCTTTCAGTTGGTCTAATTGGGAGCAGTACTTGCTGGAATTAATCATTTGGTTTTCCAGAAGGAGCTCATAATAGAGAACTCCCTTCCAATCCCACCATGTACACAACATCACCTTCTTTGGTTGAAGACCGGCCTTTGGTGTGGTTTGTGGTGGTTCCTTTCACTCGCCCCACGATCTCTTCTGTCCCACATTATTGTACAATATCCACTTTTCATTGCCTGTCACAATTTGTTTTAAAAATGAAACGTTTTCATTACGTTTCAGTAGAGAATCACATGCGGAGATACCATCAAGAAGGTTTTTTTCACTTATGTGGAACCCAGAGGTCAAATCGATTTACATAATCAAGCTGGTGCAAATGATTTTCAGCACTTGATTTGGATATTTTGAGTATGTCGGCTATCTCCCCTGTGGTATGATGTTGATCTCAATTAATGTCTCGATTTGATTGCTATCAACTTCAACTGGTCTCCCTGACCATGGAGTATTGTCCAGCAAGAAAATCTCCAGCATGAAACTTCAGAAACCACTCTTGACACGTTCAGTCAGTCACAGCACCTTCTCCATACACTGCACAAATCTTTTTTTGTGTGTTTCAGTTGAGGTTTTACCTTTCTTGAAATAATAAAGCATAATATGCCAAAAATGTTGCTTTTTTTCTTCCATCTTCATTATTAAAATGGCTACCCAAAAATTCACCAGTTTTGATGAGTTTTTTTTTTTAATGCATGCTGATATGACAGCTGTCACAATACAGTATAACAAAATTGTTTCGAATGAAGTTAGAGCCAACCAAGTGCTACTAGAGCCATCTTACGGAAAAAACCGATTGAACTTTCTGGGCTAGCCTAATAGGAGGAAGCATGATGTAATGGGAAAAGCAGTGTATTTGGGGTATTTGGGTATTTGGGGTTCTAGTCCCAATTCTAATACCAATTTTGTGATTTGGGGCAAGTTTGAAAATCTCTTTGAGCTTTAGTTTCCTTCTCTGTAAAAGTGTAACTTGTAATACATGATGTTCAATAGTAAATACAAAACTTTAATATCAGTTTATTTTTAAAATGTGTTTACAGAGAATTTTAAGAATTAAGCTGGTATAAAGGGAGGGGCATGTGTTTTGAATATAGAAACCAGCTAAATTGGGATAATTATTTAAATTTCATAAGTTTTCATCCAAGGTGTTTCTGAATTTTTTTTTCAGTAGTAACAGTACAGTCCTAGTTTTGTCAAACAAACAGACATGAATATGTTTATACATGTGCAGGAAAACATACAGTTCAATAAGTTTTAATATTATCCTCAGCGTGGAGTTGTATATGATGGATAAAACAAGGAGAATAAAATAATTTTCTTTTTTTTTCTATAATGGTAATGAAGAAAAATTAAAACAAAATAAAAGACCATATAAAGACCATTTGTGGCTTTGGAGGTAGATTATCTTATGACATACAGTAAGGAAAATGTAAGGAACAGGCTTTTTTTTTTCTTTCTGTTTCCCAGTTTTACTAAGAACTGTTACCTATGGGGGAAAGCAGAAAACAAGATGGCTTAGTGATTGATGATGATCAGCTCTTTTTCAGTCATGACAGGAACAAGGGTTCTTTTTTTTTTTGTATTGAAGTATACTTGATGTACAGTAATATTACATAAGTCACAGGTGTATAATATAGTGATTCACAATTTTTAAAGGTTATACTCCATTTATAGTTATTATAAAATATCTACCCCTTCCCTCTCCCCACTGGCAACCACTAGTTTGTTCTCTACATCTGTGAGTCTGCTTCTTTTTTGTTATATTCACTAGTTTGTTGTACTTTTTTAGATTCTAAATATAAGTGATATCATACAGTATTTGTCTTTCTCTGAATTATTTCAGTTAGCATTAATAGCCACTGCGTCCATCCATGTTGCTGTAAATGGCAAGATTTCATTTTTTTTATGGGTGAGTAGTTTCCCATTATATATAATACTACTCAGCCGTAGAAAAGAATGAAATATATATATTTGCCTCATCTTCTTTATCCATTCATCTGTTGATGGACACTTAGTTTGCTTCCGTATCTTGGGAATTGTAGATAATGCTGCTATGAACATTGGGGTGCATATATCTTTTCCAATTAGTGTTTTTTGGGGTTTTTTGGGTATATACCCAGGAGTGGAATTGCTGGGTCATATGGTAGTTCTTGTTTTAGGTTTTTTTTTTTTTTTTTTTTTTACATAGTAGCTATTATTTATTATTATTACTTATTTTAGTCTTTTGAGAAACCTCCATACTGTTTTCCACAGTGGCTGCACCAATTTACATTCCCACAAACAGTGTATGAGGGTTCCCTTTTCCAAGAGTTCTTAATATAGCGTCTGTCGACAAGCTTTAGTGGAATCCATGAACCATTTGGAATGGTGTCAAAAACACTGAGTATGTCCATTCATGCATTTCCTGTATGTCACTCCAGTGACTGAGTCCATAGGTTTTAACAGATTCACAAAGAGTACATGATGCAAAAAGTATTAAGAACACTATGGACAGTTCTTATCTGCTTCTGCATAGAGTGTAAGAAGATGTGGGGCTTCCCTGGTGGCGCAGTGATTGGGAATCTGCCTGCCAGTGCAGGGGACACAGGTTCAAGACCTGGTCCGGGAAGATCCCTCATGCCGCAGAACAACTAAGCCTGTGCGCCACAGCTGCTGAGCCTGCGCTCTAGAGCCCGTGTGCCACAACTACTGGAGCCCATGTGCCCAGAGCCCGTGCTCCATAACAAGAGAAGCCAGCGCAATGAGACCTGTGCACCGCAACGAAGAGTAGCCCCCGCTCCCTGCAACTAGAGAAAGCCCGCACGCAGCCAACAAAGACCCAACGCAGCCAAAAATCAATCAATTAAATAAATAAATTTACTTTTAAAAAAGAAAAGAAAAAAAAGAAGATGTGGATTTTTAGTCACAGACTACTGAAAATGGCATTGTATATTTGGATCCCGGAGTAATAGGGAATGATTACAGGGCTGTTGATTTTTCTCTCGGTTATGCATTTTAACGTTTCCTGTTATTATTTTGTAACCTTTGATCTTGATCTGCTGTTCTCATCCAGAAAGCTGCCAGACTCCTCAAAATAAATGAAATTTAGAGATTCTAGTCTTTCCCCTAACAGCTCAATTTATTGAGGATCTTTTCAGTTTTTTGCTTTATCAAGGAATGAATTGGATTCATGTGTTTGAATTACTTTTAACAGGTTTTATTGCATTTAAACAATTCCAGTTTTATCTTTATTTTAATAGGCAAAAACTGAGTAGGTTCCTCCTAGAATGAAGACACCATCCTTTTAAGTCTTCTTATGTGTATATGGCACTTTGAGGATTTATACCCTGTTCAGTTATGATTGATATTTAATGTGTACTTGAGTCTGTAGACTTCTGACATTTTTTTCTAATTCCGTTTCCTCTTTCCTTTTTTTTTTTTTTTTTTGTTGGTGGGGGTAGGGTTAGAAAGAATCTTACAGCAATGATCTGGGATCTGGCTGCTTGTATCAGAAACACCTCATTTTTATGTTTAAAGACACTATGTCTTGGGAATTCCCTGGCAGTCCAATGGTTAGGACTCCACGCTTTCACTGCCAAGGGTGTGGGTTCAGTCCCTGGTTGGGGAACTAAGATCATGCAAGCCGAAAGCATCTCATTAATTCTTCTGCATTCCCAGGAGAAGTTTTCTGATTACTTGGTTTCTTTCTTTGTAGGAGAAAAACGGAGGTACTGGTACTCTTACCATTAAAAAGAAAACACACGGAATTCAAGTTCTCTGTCAACCTACTTTCCACTTCGAATTAAATTTCAATCAGTTAGTTTAACTGTTAGGTTACATTGCATACTCTGAACCCAGATATGAAGGAGTCTTCACTTTCATTCAGAGCTGTTCATCTAGTAGTTTTTGTAAGCTTTGGAATTTCACAAAGTTTAGTTAAATATGTGCAATTCTTTTCCATTTAAAGTTTTTTGGAATAAAAATTTCATATATGCGTTTTGGTCAGAGTAATTTTTTGGAGCCTTGGCATCCTGCTATTAGTTTGAATTTGGTACCTCTTTTCTCCTCTTCCGAAGGTACTGTGAAATGTGTCATATTTCAGGTGAATTTTTAAAAATTGTGCATATTTGTTGATAATTGGAAACAGTAGTGTGTGATATGGGCATAGTGAGAATAACCATTGCTCAAAGATCTTTTTTTAAAATTTTATTTATTGATTTATTTAATTTTGGCTGCATTGGGTCTTCGTTGCTGCACGCAGGCTTTCTCCAGTTGCGGCGAGCAGGGGTTACTCTGCGATGTGGTGCGCGGGCTTCTCATTGTGGTGGCTTCTCTTTGTTGCAGAGCACAGGCTCTAGGCGCGCAGGCTTCAGTAGTTTTGGCTCGTGGGCTCTCGAGTGCAGGCTCAGTAGTTGTGGCGCACAGGCTTAGTTGCTCCATGGCATGCGGGATCTTCGCGGACCAGGGCTCGAACCCATGTCCCCTGCGTTGGCAGGCGGATTCTTAACCACTGCGCCACCAGGGAAGCCCCAAGATCTATCTTTTCGAATTCATTTTTCTCACCTGAAGAAAAAATTTAGTAACACTATATGGTTTACTTATAATATTGAGATTTTAGAGAGAAGGTGCCTGCTTTGCTTATCTGAGTTGGATATTAATACATATTTCACAGGGTTGTTTGAGAAATCAATGGGATGAAAGATGTTAAGTACTCAACAACTGCATATAGTAGGTTCACTTCAAAAAGGCTGTATGTAGCCTAACACGTCGTCCTCCTCACAGAGAATTGAGAGTCACTGGAGCAGGAAAAAATTAATATATGCCAAAAAGTTCTGCCTTGGTCAGTTATTAAATTCATTCAGAAGTAATGAAAAATTTGGAGAGGAGCATATAGAGTGGACAGTTTCATTAAAATGAAGCTTTTTCCTTAAATTTGCTGTCTGGAAGCAGAATCAAATAGATAGGAAGAGACTAGTAAATGATAACAAAATTTTTTTTATCTTTGGAACTGCCCTCACAATTGACATTTTTTCATACCTTTTTTACCTGCATTAATTCAGTCTGAGCTGTTCCTTTTGTGTGTAGATTTTTTTAAGTTACATTGTTCTAATGAGAGAGGGAAAGCGTCTCAGGAGACAGTTTCAATTTGTTTAACTTGCTCACGAAGTTGAAGTCACCCTCGGAATAGGCGTCTCTGCACCTGACATTCCTGCCCCAGGCCGGCCGGACCCCTCCCTGTGAGTAAGAGGAAAGGCTTGGCCAATTACTTAGACAAAGCCGGACGGCTGCCGAGCCGGCGGGGAGGAGTTTCCTTCTCGGAGTAGGGCTTCTTTCACACGGTTTCGCCCAGCAAGATTACCTGCGGCGGAGGTTGAGTAGGGGTTGTTGTCTTTGCCGCGGACCCCCTCCACTGGGAGGGGTCGGGTGGGAGGAATCGTCGAGGTTGCCAGTTTCTCCTGGAGGCAGATGCCTTCTGACCCCAGCGCTCCGGTCCACCTCCCACACAGACAATCAGGTCCGTCCCCGGAGTCTCAGGTGGCACCACGGCGGCATCCTAGGCTAATGATTTGGTGGAAAGGGAAGGGGTGGTCCTTCTGCCTGGACCCCTCTCGGCTGACTCACAGGAAGTGCTAGCAGGGCCGGGCACTGGGCGCAGCAGCTCCAGGATTCCGCCCTCCCCGCCGCGTCTGCCGCCCTCTCCCTCCTACGTGGGCTTTGCCGTATCTCCCGTAGAACAATGAAGGACTTCCAAGTTTGCTAAGACTCGCAGGCACATTCTTTGGACTTCTGTGATAGTCTTCAAAATGTTTTGCCACCGACTTTTACAAGAAGCTGTTTTTTAAAAAGCCCTTCCCTTCGTGGATTGCTTTGTCTGAAGATTACTCAGGGTGACCATGGTTCAGCGCTTTAGCCTCAGGAGGCAGCTATCCAAGGTGGGTACCTTGGGTAGCTTTGTGTGTGTGTTTAGGGGAAACTCTCACCAGCTTTGGCGTGGTCTCCTTTTTCGCTAGAACTGTTCTGTCAAGCCTGCCTCCTCCGGTGCTAAGGAGGGACAGAGGGAGGAAGCGCCGCCTTTTGTTCTTTCCTCAGACAGACACAAAGGTTTAAGGCTGACTGCACTGGAAACCCCAGATTTTGTTCCCCTAAAACTAAAGCTATCATCTGTGAATTTGCAGGAAGTTGTAGTCTGCTTCTCAGTTACAGTTTCCAGAGGGTGTGAGTGAAGGAGAGAATAGTGGGTAAAAAGTGCATGTTTAATTAGCAATTCATGTAGCAGCTTTTGACCAAAATGAGAAAGCTTTATTGGTCTTTGGAATCAGTGCTTTCATACAGAGTTTAATATTAAACTGGGGAAAACTACCATAAAATAGTTCAATAAGCATGACCGCCTTGAAAATGTTAACATGAGTGGTTGTATTAAGAAACTCGCTTATTCCTTCATTAAGGAGTGTGTGAAAAGCAGTACCTGAAGGCTCAGGAATCAATTTTTATAGAGTTGTGCTTCAAAAACAGGTTTCACGTGTGCAGCTTTGGGGGAAAACTTTTAAACTAAGAAAATCAAACTTAAATTTAAAAAAAGAAAGAAAGCAAGCAAGCAAAGCCCTCTTAGAAGAGGGGCTGCTGATTTTATGAATCAGCCTTGGCAGTGGACCTCTGTTGACGCAGTCACTGAGCTCTCTTTTTAAGTGAGTGCAGAAACTACTGTGGAAAGAGGTGTGCTGAGAGTTGAGCTTATTTCAGAAACCCATTCTGTTTTTTAAAAGCTCTATTTTTAAAATGTAGCAGTTGGTGGCTAAATTGTGTCACAGTTCATTCTCTGCAGACAGAAGCTTAAACAAATAGTAAATCAGTAGACATTCTACACTTCCTTGGTTGTTAGTCAGAATTGTTAGATCCTGAAATGCCTTATTGTCTTAAGGGGAAACCTTTAGTTCCTCACAGGTGACCTCAGTGTAGGATGTGTGCATTCAAGCAAAAATGAGCAAAGCTCTTGCCTTCATCCCCATGTCAAATTTTGTCTTTTTTCTTGCATCTCCAAGCCTAACAGGGACTTTTTAGGAGTATTAGAGTAAATTTTCCTTGCTTCCCTTCTCCTCATTCCAGGTGTGTGGGTGGGGGTGAGGGGGCTGGGAGGCTTCCACATTTCTCCTGAACAATAAAGAGAGTCATTTTTGTTTCTCCTTCACGTGATCCTCTGATCACGTATTTTCAGATATATAGTACAACTAAAAAACGGAAGTTGTGTAGATTGTCAGGGCAGTGACCTTTCTGCATAAGGATGTTTGAAACAAGTGAGAGCTAGGTGATAAGTTTCTAAGTAGAAAATAACTGCTTTCTAGGTATTTCTCTCCCAATAATTTTGTGAACTTTTAACACTCTTTTCACTCTGTACTGTATGCATGACTGTGATTTATGGGGCGGGGGGAACACTTTTAGGGGGATTAGGAGCACATCTTCTCTATAACATGAAGAAATAAAAGGTACAGATTATGTAAAAAGACTCCAAGAGTTGACCTCTTTTAATTCCTTTTTCTAACATCCCTCTCCATTTTAACATGGTTTCTGGGTCCTAAACTGGATGGTCAGGACCAAATCGAAGGAAATTTGTTTTCTATCCAGAGTCCTTAGCATAGTAATGAATTGAAAAAAATTCAGTAATTAATTGAAAAAATAATATTCTTAATTGTTTCAGTCTGTATGGCACTAAAATATGGAGGAGAAACTGAATAGTTATGTCAAAAAAATTTTTTTTAACTACAGTGAATGCACTGTGCCCCTATTCTGTCTTTTTGGCTAAATCCACATTACCTGAAAACAGAGGCCCTGTTGTACCCCAGTGCATGGTATTTCTGGCACACGTGGAACACTTAAAGTGAAATTGGTTTTTTGCAGGTCAAAAACAGTTGAACAATGGCAATTTCATATGATTCCAGCTTTATGAACAAGTGTTTTTGTCAATAAGAGATAATCTCCCACAAATGTAGACTTGTCTTAAGATGATCTCATATTTATAAAGCAATTTCCTATTTTGATGAGAAGAAATACTCTTGTGATCATCTTTAAATTTTGTTGGAAATTTTCTGAAAGAAATTATTTATAAATGTTTGCAGTGATTTAAAACCCAGTATCTAATTTAGATGTTTTTTTTTTCCACCAACAAACTTCTTTTTATTCCTTAGCTGCTTTTTTTTTTTTGCGGTACGCGGGCCTCTCGCTGCTGTGGCCTCTCCCGTTGCAGAACACAGGCTCCGGACGCGCAGGCTCAGCGGCCATGGCTCACGGGCCCAGCCTCTCTGCGGCATGTGGGATCCTCCCGGACCGGGGCATGAACACGTGTCCCCTGCATCGGCAGGCGGACTCTCAACCACTGCGCCACCAGGGAAGCCGTCCTTAGCTGCTTTTTATCTTTAAGTTTGATAGTCATGTTTACTTACACTGGGTATTTCCCCTAGAATATTCAAATGATTCCTTCAGGCTAGTGTATTTTGACATCTGAACTAAGTAAAAAGGAGGAAGTAAATTAAATAGATGAAGTAAAAATCTTCATTTTAAAAGCGAGATGCTCAGTTATTCTTTTTGACCAGATCCCAGTTACCTGACTCCCAGAAAAGTTCCTTTTCCTTGCCATTTTAGATTATTTTCTTCCTTTATAGTTTTCTCACATGTGACTTCACAATAGTCGCTAAGGAAAGCTTTTTCTTTCTTCCCTAAGTCCTCTTCATGAGCCAGCCGAAATAGTCTGAAACCTGCCAGTTTGGACATTACATTTAATTCGCCTAATGATCCTTAAACTTAGGTGGTATCAGCTTCATTTTGTCATTAAAGAAACAGGTTCAGGGGCTTCCCTGGTGGCACAGTGGTTAAGAATCAGCTTGCCAATGCAGGGGACATGGGTTCGAGCTCTGGTCGGGGAACATGCCACGTGCTGCGGAGCAGCTAAGCCCGTGTGCCACAACTACTGAGACTGCGCTCTAGAGCCTGCGAGCCACAACTACTGAGCCCGCATGCCACAACTACTGAAGCCCGCACACCTAGAGCCTGTGCTCCACAACAAGAGAAACCACCACAATGAGAAGCCCATGCACCGCAGCAAAGAGTAGCCCCCGATCGCTGCAACGAAGACCCAACGCAGCCAAAAATAAAATAAATAAATAAATTACTTTAAAAAAAAAAACAAAAAACGGGGGCTTCCCTGGTGGCGCAGTGGTTGAGAGTCCACCTGCCGATGCAGGGGACACGGGTTTGTGCCCCAGTCCGGGAAGATCCCACATACCGCGGAGCGGCTGGGCCCGTGAGCCATGGCTGCTGAGCTTGCGCGTCCGGAGCCTGTGCTCCACAACAGGAGAGGCCACAACAGTGAGAGGCCCGCATACCGCCAAAAAAAAAAGAAAAGAAAAGAAAAAAAAAGTTCAGAGAAGTTAATTTTCCCAAGATCAGCCAGAGGCAGACTCAGGTTTAAACTTAGGTCTAACTCTAAACCCATTCTGCTTCCCCACACCAACTGCCTCCCTAAATTTCTGGTGTATTAATCAGTTTACTCTCATGGACTATGATATTTCTCCATGCTTATAGAAAACAGTGTAGTAAATAACTTAGATAACTGCTTTGGAGCAGCCCTTTTCAATAGGGCTGAAATTAATGTCTGATAGGGTTTGAATATATCAGTCAAACTTGGTAAGTGTTTTCCACAAAGTTGTTTTCTTTGGCCAGAGAAACATCAATTTGAGTAAGATAGTTGATTTAATAAAGCCATATTAAATGTAGTTGAAGCTTAACTGCATGTACTTACATGAAACTTTATAAACTGTATTGCCTTTTAGAAAATGTCTTTGTTAAGGAGAAGAATTTACTCTTGAGTTTCTATAATAATGTTTAAGGGATGAAATACAATGAATTAAAAATTCAGAAAGTCTTGTTTTAACTCACTCTGGCTCTGTTGTCCCTCCCCGCCAACCCCCTCAAATCTTTTAAATGGGTAATAGAAAATCAGGTTTTTTCTTCTTTTCTGGAATTTCAGTTTTTTAGAAGGTATGGTAAAAGCTGAGGAGAGTCTGAGAAAATAGTTTTAAGATTGTTTCAGTAAGAATATTATACTCTTTTATTTTTTAATAGTAATCGTTTCTGTAGTTCAAAAATAAGAAATTACATAACTGTGAACTCTTGCTTCCATGTCTTTTCAACGGTTTCGTATCCCTGCCTCCATAGGTAACCAGTTTCTTGTTTAGCCTTCCATTGTTTCTTTACTCACATGTAAGAAAATGTGAACATGTATTTTCTGACCTTTCTAAAATGAAAGATGAAGGCTATACAGTTTGTTCTAAGGTAATAGCTTGAACTTTAATTTTCCAGGAATGGATGCTCAGTAGTTATCTTAGTTTGGGGTTCACATTTATTTTCACATTTTCAGAGGAGGCTTACTTCCTTTAGGACAGATATAGCCACACAGAATCTACTTTCTATATCAAAGATAATTA